GAAATTTTTCATAAGCGATTGGTGCAGGCGGTAGACGATTTAGATGATGTAACCTGCGTGGCAGACAATATTTTGGTCTATGGCTCGACAGAAGAAAAGCATGACGCTAATCTCCACCGTTTCTTACAGCGTTGTATGCAAAAGAACATCAAGCTTAAACATGAAAAATGTGAACTTCTGAAATACGAGGTGCTTTTCCATGGGCATTTGCTAACAACACAAGGGATCAGGATCGCTCCATGAAAAATAAGGGCAATTCCAGAGATGCCGCCTCCTAATGACGTGAAAGGAATCCATCGTTTAAACCGGATGGTGAATTACTTGAGCCGTTTTATGCCAAGGTTCACTGATATCATGACGTCGATCAGGAAGTTAACTCACAAAGGAGTAAAGTGGAGTTAGAGAAAAGAACAGGAAATCGCGTTTGTAACTATTAAGCACCTTATGGGCAACGCGCCTGTACTCGGGTATTACGATCCAGCGCAGCTTTTGCAGGTAAAGTGTGACAATAGCCAAGACGTAATAGGTGCTTTTCTCTTACATAATGGAAAACCTTTGGATTTCCGCAGCCGATCACTCACCGTGACCGAGCTGCGCTATGCCCAGATAGAGGAGGTGATACTTGCAGTAGTCTATGTCATAGAGCTTTTCAACGATTATACTTTCGGAAGAAAACTGTGTATACCGACCACAAACCTCTTGTGTCGTTAGCCAGGGAAGCGCTGTGCATCGTTCCTCTTCGCCTTCAGCGTATGCTTATCCGTCTTCAAAAGTACGGCGTGGATATTATGCACACATCTGGTGTACAGATGTTCATCGCGGGCACGCTGTCAAGAGCTCATCTACCGGTGCCTGAGCATAATCCAAAAGAGATTGAAGCAGTAAACCTAGTACAACACCCATCAGTGACGGAAGATCGTCCGAATGAAATAAGTCACCACGCAGAGGAATATGTGACGTTATTATAGATGGTTGACCGGAAACGAACAAGCAGTTGCCGAAGGAACTAATTCTCTTCTTCAGTTTTCTTGATGAACTCTGCCTATGACGGTTTGCTGTTCAAGGGAAGCCATATTCTGATTCCTTCATCGCTCCGAGGAGAAATGCCTAACTACGTACATCGCATTCACCCGGGTGCCAAGTATACCATTAACCGAGTACGAGAATTGGTCTTATGTTCAGGAATGACGGGTCAAATCAGTAATCATGTATCGAATTGTGGGGCGTGCCGTTCACACGAAACCCGACAGCCGAAAAGCTAATGCTGCTGTGTGATGTCCCTGGCAGAAGGTAGCAAGGATTTATCTTGTGTCCACGGGAAAGATAACCTACTCACGGTGGGTTACTATAGTGATTATTTTGAAATCGGTTTTCTCACCCCTACGAGCACTGAAGCAGTACTCAACAAGGTCAGATGTCAATTCGCGCGCCCCGGAATACCTGAAGAGCTGATCTGTGACAGTGGTCCTCATTTTACCATCGCTGTGGTCCGGCCATTCGCAGCCAAGTGGGAATTCATGCACCAGCAAATCAGCCAATATCACAGTCAAGTGGTTGGAAAGGTGGAGTCAGTAGTGAAGCAGGCCAAACGACTGATATTAAAGGCTAGAAGTACTGGCGAAAACCCGTACCTTATGCTACAGGATAATCGAAACACTCCTTCAACGGACATCGGCTTGAGCCCAGTGCAGCGCCTATACAGTCGAAGGACTAGAACACTGCTGCCACGCTGCTGCCACGCTTTTGCGCCCAGTTGGGCCACAGCATGAGATTACTGAACAATCTGAGAAGACGAATGACCACCCAGTAACGGTACTGCGGCCGCGGTGCACGGATAATGCCTGCGCTAACAGCGGGGGAGGAAATGTGGGTTCAACCAGCATCCGATGGTCAAGAGCGGTTGAAGAAAGGTGTGGTGACTGCGAAGATCGGTGCGAGGTAATGCGAAATGAATATTGGGGGAGAAGGCTTGTAAGAAATCGACGGCGTTTGAGACGACTCCGGAGACAACAACGTGGACTGGGAGTGAAGCGAGGTGTACGGCGTGTATAGCAATATGGTTGCACAAGGACATGAAAAATGGGTGGATGTGATGGTGGTGTCATACCAGAGGGAACGCATGGGCCGACAGAGCGAGGCAGACAGCCAATGGGATACAGGCATAACGGATTTACTTGCTGGACTTGAATTGTCCGACATTCCTGTGAGTTAACCATCGTTCGTTTAACTGAGCCAAAAGAACTTCTTCGACTCAGATGGGTCGCTAGTTATGGACGTGAACGTGTAACTTTTATCGAGGCGTTTGTTTTGCAAAAGATGCTTTAATTTCACGGATTTGACACTGCTGAATAAACGCGTATCCCTGAAGGACTGAATTCTGCGATCTAGTTTTTCTTCAATTTGCTCATAAACACATCTGCTAGCAGTGAGGTCATCGCTACTCCGTCCTTCTCTCTGGATATTACACCATTAAACTGAAATTATATGTTGTTCGTATCTATTAAGATTGTAACTGTTTCAAGCGACTGTTCGAAATGCCGAGATCCAGTTTTGTAAGCTAACTGTGCTACATAGTCTATTGTTTCTTCTAAAGGCATATTGGTGAAGAGCGGCGATACAACACCCAACAAAACATCCTTTTTCCGGTCAGCTCAAGGTGTCTTATGGAGTTACTGAGTGTCACAGAGACTATGCTTGCATACGACATTTCTCCACTGCTCTAGAGGCTTGCTTGTTGCGTGGTATGGTGAGTTGCACATGTCCATTATGGATCTTAGTAGAAACCCGTTTTTATGTACTTCCGAAAATCCGTAATGCATCGGAATCACCATCCTTCTGAGCCTGATGTGTCCGAACCTGCCGGAGTCAGTCGCGTTTTCTTGTTTCAAGCGCCGTAGAAGCTTAGTCACTGTCTTTTCGATTGGCGCTGTGTTGTCCTTCTCATTCTCCATTTTACAAAACTACGTGATCGATGAAGGTGACCTCCATCAGACGCTGAGGTCCGAAACACGATTGCAGTTCTCAGTCGTTTTCATGCTGCTGGTCCTGATTCTCTCCCACCTACACTATGTAAGGATGGAGGTGTGGTCCTCTGCAAAGCACTCACCTCCCTTTTCGAACTGGTCTGGAAGGCAGAGGACATCCCAGCTAACTGGAGTGAATCAATTATAGTGGCGATCTAAAAGAAGTGTAGTCGCACCGACTGTGCTAACCACAGGGTTATTAGCCTAACGCCGGTGCTGACAAAATTACTGGCCTCAATCCTCGTTCATCGCCTCACTGCGGAACCGGAATCCCGGATTAAAGAAGAACAGGCACGTTTCCGCCCTAGGCGGGCTGTATAAACCACATATTTACTCTGCGGCAGGTGCTAGAGCAGCGCCATACGTACCGCAGACTGACAACAGCTGTGTTCTTCGATTTCAAGAGTGATTTCGACTCAGTTGGTTGATGCATTCTGTTTGGAATGCTTGCTCGGAAATGTGTTCCCACGACATATGTGAACATTTTGCGTGCTTTATACTCGAACACGACAGGTCGCGTCAGAGTCTACGGGGACCTGTCGGATTCCTTTCCGACAAGAATTGGCGTGCGCCCGGGTTGTCCGATTTCCCCACTTTTGTTCTGAATTGATATACACGTGTTTTTGCATACAAATTTACGTCAGTTCGCCTTTTTTAGCGAGTAACTCGTATCAAATGGGAAAAACTCACTTGGATTAACCGGGAACTCTTGGCAAGCGTGCCGCTAGCGTTTCGATTCCGGAAACTTATGGGCTCTTCAGAGATGAAGTTAACAAGGATTGAAATGCAATACCAATGTTCGGTGCGACAATATAGCTAACTTATTCCATGCCGGCGACACTGTCGGATACCGACAAAACATAGAGTGGCATTATTCTAACTTAACATGCTACTCAGTGTAAGATTAGTGCTGCATATTGATTCGCAGCCCTTCCCAACAATGGTTGATGGAGATGTTATCGATATGCGTTCACGATTGGCGTAGTGAAGGAGGCTACTTGATGTTGCATAGGCGCTAATAAATCGAAATTAAGTACCCTGCAAGTACGGGCGGTGCTTGCCACGAGAATGCTAGGCGGATTATCGGTGTTTCTCCTGAGAGTGTCACAAGTATTTTGGTGAATAAATTGTCACTCGTTAGCTGTAGCTTTCTCCCCCTGCGTGGTAAATATCACGATGTTCAGGATGTTTTTTCGGAGAATTACCACTATTTGCCAGTTTCTTTGACTTTGTTTTTATGTTCTCTCTTAAGGTTTTCTTGTCCGTGTCATCTATCGTCTCCAGCCTTGGAGTTACATAACTTGAACATGTGGACAGCTTCAGTACCCAAAGAGCTGTGTTTCTACCGTTGTTGCTATCGAAAAAAGGTATCGTTCTGTATCACCAAAGCCCGGTCAGCATTTGCCCACCTGGAACATTTTTGGCACCATCGGGTCGTGTATCTCTTGGGTTATAGGTCATTGTTGACATCAGCACCATTCAGCCTTTTACACCCAGATATTTGCGGAGGAACATCAATTATGTAGTGACAGCGATAGCTCTGATAACCCGGTCAGGTATTATGCGTGTCATACAAGCGTGCGCCGCATCGTGCTTTGTTCGCACAACACCGCACTAAAAGAGACCGCGTGATAGTCGACCTAACACTTGATGATAGAACCGTTTTCTTGCCTATGCATTGTCTACTCGTTGCTCACTGGGGAGCCAGAGACAACAAACACGGAGGATATGTTACGGAGCCGGATTTGCTAGTGGAATCATGTACGCATCTGCTTGGACTCAAATGTGTAGTGCTTAATCATCAAAAGTGACAACAGCAACAGTATGTAAAATACTCAACTGATGCTTATTCTCTTTTCCTATTCATCGGGCTTATTTTCTTCTCCGACTTCCTTTGTTTGACTATCTCCGTGTCCACTCTATAGACTGCTATTGTTATACAAATATGTTAATGCAGCTATGAATTTTGTGTTTCAGATTCACCAGACCGACGGCTTGCCGGTCTACTTACCTGTTCGAACGCCGAAGTTTCCTCTTGGCTGGGCCTGGACTGTGATACACAACCCACAGAGCAGCGCAATCCAGCACTTGACGCAATCACACTAAGTTCACTGGATGTGGACACCTTTCATTACATCTTATCGAGAATCTCGGCGGAAGAATAGAGATTTCTGCATGGGAGTGCTTGTTCGTTTCATATTTGAGCTAGACCCGCAAATTGTTATAGGCATATGAAGACAGAAATGTCCCTCTCTCATTGCATCCACATCTTGATGGTTTTTCCTTTCGCCCAACCCTCGCTTTACTTTGCACAGTTCACGAACTTTGTGGAGTTTCAACTTCTGCTCATTCCTGATGCTATTGACCTCTTGCTGCAAATATTAGATGGTGTTTCAAACTGTATTCGCATTTAGCTGTCCCCGTTTTTATCTTTCTACCATTATCTTAATTCACCTGTGAACAATGAACAACTCCTGTTGTCATTAGGATTGACCACGGAGTATCTGCTAACCAGCGGCCTGGTTGGGTCCCCTTACCGCCCCACTGTAAAACTGACTGTGATTTTCCTTTTCAGTGTTCCATATAGGAGTCGCATGGTGAGGTTGCTATCCTCAAGGGTTCGCATACGTCTCTCATTGGGATTCCGCATAGTGGAGCCGAATATGCTCCGACATGCGGTGCCTCGTCAGCCGCGAAAACACGGCCTCAGAGAGTTCTATCAAAATCCCCTACCCTTTCCGGCACGCTTCTACAGCAGCGTAGATAAACACCTTGCTGGCGTTTCGTAGGCCATATTCATCCGCAGCTCTGAACCTACAGCTTGCTTGTGGCCGGTGATGCCGATTACTTGTTGCGCAGCTCACATTGCACCACGAAACTTTTTCGGAGTTCGTTTGATCTCGCCTCAGCAATGTTCTCATCATGCAACAACTCAAATCGCACAGGTTACCGCTGTTGTGTGTCAACGCAAACTGCGAAGACTTTACCTAAGCTCTCCCCAGTGACATTGCTGTATCTATCATCTCATGCCATACTGACTTCAACTTCGTTTTCCTCAGATCACCACATGGTAATTCACGGGCCTTACCAACGTTCACCTTCCTCTATAGTTTATGTATTACACTGCTATGCTATTGGGTTATAAACGCGAAAGCATAGGAGAAATGTTACCCTTTATTTGCGTCAGTAAACGAACCTTTTCTATCACCTAGTCTTTCCTTTCCGGGTTCCGGTGCAGTAGTGTGAGGTTACGCATCTTTTCTACTGTGTTAGCTCGCATGTACATGCGTCTGACGACTATGTCCCCTAGGTCATATTGATCCGAATTCGGCTGGCCACTCTGCGCGCGGGGTACTGCCGGTGAAAAGCATTTCGTCTGTTCCGATTATGAGTCGAAACTAACTGTGACGCTTTGTAACATCGCTGTAACTAAACCACTTAATTACCGTTCTTGGTTACTTCGTCCACGTGGTCATAAGAGTCGCTGTAATTCACCCCAACCGCTTGCACATAAGCAATTTTTTAAACAGCTTGCGCATTGCGCCAGGTAAACATGCTCAAATAACGGTGTATTTGTGACCTTCAGACCGAAGCTGCGAACGGCTTTCTCTGGGATCTTGTAGCTATGCCCTTAAAGGACCGAAGAAACCTGAATATAGGTCCCGCATGCTAATGTAGGCACTTACAGCATGCGAAGTAATTTTAGCACATGGTTGCTGCTGTCAAGATGAGTGAATCAATCATTTACCTCCAGCTCCTCCTTGTCACTTATAATTGGCACTTGAATGGCTGGGGATCTTTCCACAGCATTTCGCAGAGTGCGTTCAAAAATAGGATTGTTCTACACACATGACTGTGTTGCCTTACGACTTTCAAACAGCAGAATCATGTCTTCCACATAACTCAAGCCAATCAGTTTCCCCCTCGGACTGTGTCATGAGACTGCACGATGAAATATTCTATAGCTACTGATTGCAGTGCCATTTTGAAGTACTGGTTGTGTGCTTGTATTGCGACGCATCGGAGAAAATCTTGGCCAATTCTATCACTAAGACGGTGGCCGAGGCGTAAGGAAATTCGGTATTGCCCTAACGAAAGCACTGAACTCTACTGCGCGTTTCGATCTCACAGATAGAGCAAGTAGGCCTCAAACCAATCACAAAAGGAGTACTTCAAAATTACCCTCCAATCAGTTATACCCCAGCGTTGACGGTCATGACCCGATGGGTAAAAGGATAGCGATCCCACCTGACATCCTAATGGTCCCGGGTTCGTGACCTGTTATCTCTAACTGATGAGATCAGACAAGGTCTAAACGCTAAGTGGAGTGCAGTGTTTTAGGGCGGGCAGCATCAAGTTTCCATACGATCCAGTGTCTGCGATAAAAATTCTATGACTGGTTTAACCCTTTCGGATTAGCCTTCAATAGTTCACCGTGGACTTCGATACAACTCCAGGTGTTTATAATGACGGTGCACTCTATGTTCTCTACATTTCTCGGGAGCGCCTTTCCAGTTAATTATGCTCAGCAGAACGGGAAAGTTAAAAGTTGAGCGCGCTGTTAAATACGACAGCACAGTTGTAGTCGATTCGCGGCACGTATGATGCTGCTTTACGAATTCACAAAGTCGAAATATAACCTATTCAGACCCTTCTTGGTCGGAAGCCTATCTGTTGTACTCCCCTCCGTGAACCTAGTTTCGAAACAAATCGGTGGATTAGATTGGAAATCAGTAACTTTGCCGCCTCCGATGTCATCTGGCTGAGGTTTGCATATCTTCGCAGTGGATATGGAGCTAATGACAGTTCACGGAGGCTCACTGACACTGGTTTCCTTCATATTGTCAGTGTATAAGCGTTACATTTTGATGCTTTCGGTGATAGCTAACGAGGCTTACACTGGTTTGTTACTTCCCCCACATAAGTCTGTGACTTGACTGCTGTGATTACGGTTAGGTGAATGACATGCAAAATCATATAATCACCATATTTCAGTGAACCCGCATCTGAAATAAGCATTGAGCTGTATTTGTGGCTTATTGGCAAGGAGCCGTTGATCAATGTCGATATTCCTTTATCGAAATACTCCCTTAGCAGGATGACTAGCGAAGTTGCATTTAGGAATCCTCAGATCACGTAGCAGAAGTTCACAATTAATACAGCCTAGAGCGGTGTTGTATTGAAGTAAACCCGCCTCGCAAAGATGTACATCCAAACCAATTCTTGAACAACAGTGCTCAGCTGCTGTAGTCATTTGAGTCCATTTCCCTTCGTCAGGAATTTTTTAATTACTAATTACGCGCAATGGTCGCCGCACGGACGTAAAAAATCCTGTCACGTACTCTAATCGAATTTACTGGCACACCTCTCATCACACACGCGTGTGCTTGCATTCATCTGATCCAGTTTCATCAGCGCTATTTAGTGCATTCCATCTCTCAAATCTAACTTGTGTGGATCATCTCTAAGTTCAATATCTCGGCTTTTGCACTGTTCCCGCGGAAACGCAATAGAGGAAGTTTTCGAACCCCGGGCCACGCAGCAATATCTGTGATCTCAAACGAAAGCGAACTCAGAGCTCTATACGACGAGCTCCAACCACAACTGTCAACCGCTAAGAGAGGTAGCTATCCGACCTTTTGTGCCCCCATCGCATACTCGGTTTATTTATATCTCAGAGCAAACCATCCATCCGCTCACTTCAAGTCTGCCAGCCGTGGACACATCGAACGCGTTGACCTTGCAACTACAGCGACAGATTAGCAACCACACCATTGACTGACAAGGCATTAATCGGCGCAATTGTTTTTGACGACCAATCAACGGTTGCTGACAGTAGTATGTGGATTTCCTTCATACCATAAAGTTGTACTAACCGGAGTTCAGTGGGCAAATGGCTGCAGCAAGTTTCGCATCCAGAGACGCTGAGGCAGCAACCACTGGTCAAGCCAGGATAGGTATCGTACTCAGCTCCAAAGCTGAGTCATCGTTGGTTGACTGCATTCCGGTGAACAGTCGTTTGGGTGCAGCCCATTTGACAACATCGTCCAAGGTTGCTTCACGAAGTAGCACAAGAGGCCATTTGTTTGTGGTTTCCGCCTATCCTCTCACCGACTGCAGTTCTCATGCTGTCAAGGACACATACTGCCACGAACTGAACAAGCTACTACGCAGTGCTACCAGTTCAGATATCCTAATTCTTGCAGTGGATATGATTGCACAAATAGGTCGCCTAGGCTCTTCAGAGACTCAGCTAGGTGTTAATTATGAGCTTAATTCCAAACGGATGGACAACTGCGAGCGTCTGTTACAACTGCGTGCGAAGCACCTGTGTCTTATTAGCACCGCTTTCAGACACAGCGGGAGCCGAAGTATCACTTGGCGTCTTCTTGCAGCTGGCCGGCAATGGACCCAGATAGACATAAGTTAGTCGTGGCGTGATTCCATCCTGGATTGCCGCTCGTTCTGGACCACCAGCGTCGTCTCTGATCATGCCTTGGTACGCTGTCGTTTCTCCATTAACTTTACCGGGAGGCGTACCAAGTGAATCCCTCGGTTGCCAACTGAGAAGTTATCTCAGCCCTCGGTCAGGCAAGCCTACCAGGATGCACTGCGTACCGAACTTTCGCTCTCTTGTCCTAATGACACTGAGCTTCAATAGAATAGGATCTCGGTCGCCAATCACGACGCAGGAGCATCTGCTTGTGGCACTATCAATGGTCACCGCACCAGTCACTGGATATCTAAGAGATCGGTGAACTTGTTGGAATCCAAAATAAAACTTCCGGCCGACTCTGAGCACAATGAGACCAGACGGACTATTAGGCGTGAACTGAAGCGGAGGCTGCGCGTTGACAAGTAAGCCTGGTGGGCCAGTAGGGCTTAAGATATGGAGGAAGCGGAAGCAGTAGGGGACTATGGCAAACTGTTCCAGCTGGGGCGCACCACGGATCCCCGGTAACCAGGCGTCATTAAAACAATCAGAGAAAGCGCGGATGCTCTGATTCACAATAAGGATCGTCGAATGGCTCGTTGGGCGGAACACTTTCAAGAGCAGTTCAACTGGCCCCCTGCTTCCGGACCTACTCCTGCTCAGGTGATGCCGATTGTTCTGTGGCCGGTTAGACTCTCTGAGGCTTAGGTCCAAAACGCCATCACAACCTTCAATCCTTTTCTTGCTGCTGGTCCGGATTCCTTCTCACCTGCACTAATTAAGCGTGGAGGTTAGATCGTCTGCAAAACACTGACCTCTCTGTTCGTACATGTATGGAAGGAGGAGACCGTCCCGGCTAATTGGAGTGAATCGATTATGGTGGCAATATAAAAGAAAGGCAGTCGCACTGACTGTGCCAACCGCAGGGATATTAGTCTAACGCCTGTGGTGACGAAATTACTCTGTACCATTCTCGTTCGTCGCCTCACTGCGGAACGGGATTAGAAAAGAATAGGCAGGTTTCCGCCCTAGGCGGGCTTTAAAGACCAC